GTTTTGATGAACAAATCATTTAGGTTAAGAATCATGGACTTTTGTTGGCCACGGAGCTTATTGCAATAACCCCAAAGCCTATAGAAAACATCTTATTGTTTTTTTTTTTTGTTCAGGGAACCAGAATACTTCATCCCTGCAGCAATCTATTATGAAATTATGACCAATGAGATTTATTTATTAGAATAATTGGGATTATCATTTAAAAAAAATTTAATTGGCATCTTACATTGTGTTCCCTTTAACTGCGATAAAATCACTGTAACAAGCAACTTCTCAAGCTCTGAATTAAGAGAATTTAAAGGGGTCATATGATGCTTTTTTAAAGATCATTATTTTGTGTATTTGGTGTAACAGAATATGTTGACATGCTTTAATGTTCAAAAAACACATTATTTTTCAAATACTGTACATTATTGTAGGTCCTCTATGCCCCGCCTCTCTCAAACGCTTCGTTTTCTACAAAGTCCCTCCTTCAGACAAGTGCAGTCTGCTCTGATTGGCCAGCTGAACCAGTGCATTGTGATTGGCCGAACACAGCAAGCACTCGTCGGAAATGTAACGCTCCTTACCATAATCGCGAGCTTCATCTTTCAAAATAAATATAAAGACAGAGCCCGAAAGGGGAACAGAGTCGCGCACACACACACACACACGATGCGCAAAACTCCGCATTTGAACAGTCAATAGCAAATACTTAAACTAATAACAAAACAGTAGCTGATTCAGAAGCGCCAGATTGTCATAGCAAAGTCAGAATTACCTCCTCTCCTAGGTTCACGAAACGGTCGTCCATAAAATGCATTGCTGTTCTGTTGTAAGTAATCTTAAAGATTCCTAAATGCATCTACTTTCGGAAGGCCAAATAAAGTGCTTTTGCTTTCGCCTAGAAACACACAGCGTCTCCCTGACATGCTGCTTCAACACTAACTGCAGTTACTGAAACCACGCCTTCTTTCTTTGCGTGCACATTTGGGCGGCATTATGCTAATATTCCCACATAGTGAGGTAGATATGTGGGGGCGTGTTAGAACGAGCCGTTTTAGGGGGGCGTGGCAGAGTCTTAACTTTGATAAAGAATATCTCTTTGGTTTTGAGACTTTAGTCTTTGCAACTTCAGGGATCTTATCTATGAACAATCAGCTTGTAACACTCCAAAGAGAAAGGAAAACTTGAAATCGCATCATATGACCCCTTTAAACTATGCTATATGCAGGCTGTGCAGTAGACAGAAAGCTCATATTTCTTCTTTTATTATTGTTTCAGAGCTTAATTTTCACTTTATCAGTCCTTCAAAGCACCAAAGAGTTGAATAGCATATAAAAACACAACGGAAGGATAGACCTTGATGGAAATTAAGTGTCCATTCATATCACATTTTTATAACCTGACTTTGCATTTTAATCAGGCCTCAGTTGTAATTTCAAGCTGCAGTTCTAGAGTCAAAATACATAAGTAAAACCATCAGCAAGACCATCCTTACCTATACATTTGCTGTTGCCTGTTTTGTGAAGTTCTTACAACTTTTGCTTGTTTGTTGATTTATTTTAATATATGGTGATTTAGTTATTGCTCTTGAAAGTAAACATCTTTCCCATGGCTGTTTGATTCTTAAGAAATATGAATAAATATTGTCCTTTGGTCTGTATTTTATTTTATTTCATTTCTGAAATGAACGGTGCTATTTTTAAGTAGTTGGGTATTAGAAAGATTTTTTTTTTCATTTATTTATTTATTTATTTTTATTTACAGATAAATAATTGAATTAAAGACACAGTTAAATGCATTAACTTTTTGTGAATTCAAATGAATCCAATTCAGTTTCAGATTCTGAAGTTCTGTTTATGAACCCCAAAAAGCCCTAGTCACTGTGATCAGAACTGGAAAAAGCCACAGCTATAATGTCACCTAATATCACAGTATAATTGTAGTTTTTAGTTTAGATAGAAAAAGAAAGCTGGCATAAGTCAGAAGTGCTTTTTAGCATTTTATTTTAGCAAATAGTATTTAGTTAAAATTCAGTTGACCAGTTTGTAAGTCCTAAATAAATATATGCAGTTTTGTATGAATTAAAACAAAAACAGAAGTCTTATTATACATATATTGTAATGTATTCTTATTGTAAATGTTTGTAAAGTATTTTTGAATCCTATTGAGAAGATATTCAGTCATATTCATAGTCATATTCAAGTGTTTACATGCATTACAGTGTTTACATTAGATTTACCTTTTTTTTTTTCCTGTTGATTGAATGTTGAAATGTCTACACCAGTGTTTTCCAACCAATCCTATTGAGAAGATATTCAGTCATATTCATAGTCATATTCAAGTGTTTACATGCATTACAGTGTTTACATTAGATTTACCTTTTTTTTTTCCTGTTGATTGAATGTTGAAATGTCTACACCAGTGTTTTCCAACCTTTTTTTTTAGCCATGGCACAGTTTTGATCGGTAAAAAATTCCATGGCACACCACTAAGTACTGAAATATAGCAAAATTGAACAAACATGCAATTGCTTCAAATGGCATATTAAAACTGGATATTATATTAAAAGTAGTACTCCCATTTAATGTGAAACTTGAACTTAAGTCAGGTAGAAACACAAGGTCATAGGTACCCTTATGTTGTTGGTGATGATAAAACAACAAATGTACATATCGTAGCTGTCTGGCGGAAACAATGTATATCCAAAAGCATTACCACTTTCAGGAAATGTATATATTTTTTTATATATATATAATTAAACAGCGTAATCAGAGTTGGTATTGTGGCTTTATATATGATCAGACAATTTTATATATGATCAGAGGTTTTTGACCAGCAAATGACGGCAATATGTGTTTTGTCCGTCATTAGAACAGCCACATGTGAGGCAGTGAGTGCATCGCATTACATTTTCTTACAGGTTATAAAGTTTATTGTAGCTATATGGACGCTCATTTTTTTTGTTGTTGAATACTTTTGGCTAAAATGTCATGATATAAAAGATAAAGCGCTATGCACAGGATATATGAAAAACATAGCTCTTCTCCGCTCTTCAAACACACACACAAAAAAATAAATAAACAAATAAAAAATTAGCATTAATAGACAGTGTTTCTTGAGTAAAGAAAACACTGTACTTATTCAAACGTCAGTTCTTTATTTACCCTTGCATCACGAACGGGCAGAGATCTGTCTCCAGACTGGAGTTACGAGGTTTCGCTGACAGTTTGAGGATCCAATGGCGTTACGAGTTTTACTCACAAGCTCTTTTGAATGCTTTTCATTGGTTAAATATTTGTAAAACCCACAAACGGACATAAAGATTAGCATTGATTCAAAATAATAATAATAATAGCAAAATAAGATTTTTTTTTAAAGATTGTTTTGATAAATTTCCATGGCAGACCTGACAACACTAGTGTGCCACGGCACAGTGGTTGGGAAACCCTGGTCTACACCACTCCTTTCAATCTGATCAAAATTTTTGATCATTCATAACGAGCTCATTCGAATCGATTGAGGTTTACATGAAAGCTTTTTCATTCCTATCGAGTCATCAGTTGAGGTATTGTATGTTGCCAGCTGAATAAGATGTCCCTGTAACAGGCAGGAAACATGATCTAATAATGTGTCATCAGGTGTCTTGCTTCACATGTTACCAGTCCCGTTCCCTCCCTTCTGACAGCTAAGGCATTTGTTTTCTTCCATGCTTGTGTAACCATGTCAACTCAGTGGTCTCTGTACAAAGATTCTTTGTGTGAGGTAAATGTGTTAAATGCCAGCATTCCATGTCAGTAATTCCATCGGTATCGTAGCTCGTAACTCATAACAGTGCAACTACAAGGAAATGTAGGTCGCCTGAAACTACCTACCCTGTTACAAAAAGAGCGGAGCTCTACTGCTTTTCAGTACAACATTAATCAATTTGCTTCTAATATTTTTTTTCGGGTGTGTGTATACGGTGTGTGTGTGTTCACTGCTGTGTGGGTGCACTTTGGATGGGATAAATGCAGAGCACTATTTCCACTAATTACTTGGCCACATGTCACGTCATATATATATATACAGTATATCTATGGTAACATCAGTCTAAATATCAGGGGTATTTGTTCTGTCACAGGTGTCTAGGTAAGAAGTCTTTCTCAAGCCAAAGCTGGGTTAATCAAATAGAACACAAACCTCTCTTCAGTATCTCATGGCTCCTTGATCCACTTCATGCCCCTTAAACCCAACAATACCAACAATTGCCACTCCACAACTGTGCTTTTCCGCCTCTTGACCTGAGTGCTAATAGTAACCGCAGAGTTCACCAGCTCTTAGTGTACACATTCATGGGCATGTCTGTCAGTTTTTTTTTTTTTACACAATACCGGTGCCTAAAAAGTATCGAACTCGATACCCAGCCCTAACTATAAGGTCATGTTTGGTTTAATCAAAGACTAGTTAAGCATTTAGTATGAAGTCTAAGAGCATATAATAGGATGTATTGGTCCAAATAGCCTGTTGAGTTGTCTCCTGTTGGTATTGATCTGTCAGGCTTGTAACAGCACTCCGGTGAGACTGAGTAGCCTGTAATTTGGTGGGTGGTTCAAGGTGGCCTGCTCTTTCAACTCGAGAGCTCTCTCTGTCACCATTGATCAATAGTGTGTAGCGTAAGATCTATTACCCACTGAAACCCGTGTCCCCGTACAGTAGAAATCAAAGACTTCTTTGAGAAGGGTCGTCTTTGAGAGTTTCACTCTCCATTCTCTGAGTGCCATTCATCTGTGGACAACAGGTATTTGTGGAGAGACAAAGCACAAACATGCTTCTATACTCTCAGATAATATTTAAAGTAGGATAAAATGGTCATCACAAAATAATTTATAGATTTGATGGTTTCCTTTGGGAAGAAAATTTTTTTAGTATGACTTGAGTGTCCATATATTTTGGGTTCACTGTGGATGAAGAAAGTATTTTAACATTGATTTCTGGATTGTAGCCATTCTCCTTATGTCAATATTTCACATTGTTTCAGGTACAGGAACCTTTGGAAGGGTTTTTCTGGTGAAGGATAAAAAGACAAGAGGTTTCTTTGCTCTGAAAGCGATGAAAATCCCAGATGTGATTCGCCTGAAGCAGGAGCAACACGTACATAATGAGAAAGAGGTTCTGACGGAGGTGAACCATCCTTTCCTTGTCAGACTGTAAGTGAACACTACACAACATTAACATATAGGCTACAACAGAAATGAGAATCGCATAAAAAATACAATAAGTTATGATCTGTATAAACATTTCAACATACTTAACCAAAAATATCAATGTATCAAATATTGTTTGGCCTTCTACAATCATCTTTAAAGTTTTCTCTATCTTTAAACTTATTTGTTATCTTTAAATTTTTTTTATTAAATATTTTTAACGATCCACCTCACTTTTCAATGTGGACGTAAGCGGTTTTCTGTGGATTTGCGAGATTTCCGCTTCATTAGCTGCTGTAGGGTAATAATGAGAAGAATGACAAAATGCAGTAAATGGTAAAACTGTTTGCGCTACACACCAATGTGTTTATAATTAAGACAGTACATTAAAATAATATGGCAAGAAACACCAGTTTGAAATATCAAGCAGCAAAAAGAGCTATTTTGTTCAGTTAAAAATAGCTGGAAGCGAATGAAACCGGACACATTAAATTTACCGCGCCCGCTCTTACAGGAATGTAATGAGAATAGATAATAATCTATACTATACCAGTGGTTAGTGGACCTCAAAAAAAAAAAAAAGTTTTTTCTTATGTTTGTTTTAGTTGTTGGTTTATTTTTTGTATTTCAATTTAATTTAATTTATTTGTTTTAATTATTTTTTATTTTTTGATGTGGGTTCCCATGGTCTTGAAAATCCAGGATATATGAGGTAGTCTAAGGTGGCTTTCACACTGGGCTCATTTGCTGTGGTTCGAACCCGAGTGCGATAGTTCCCGGCAGCCCCTGCAGTGTTGGTCTGGTTTCACACTCTCTTGATTCTATCGAACCCCGGTGCATTTGCAGTCATCTTACATCATCACAAACGTGCACAACGTATGATAGAAAACAGAACGTGCTTCAATATATTGTGTTTTTTTATTAATTTGGTGCTATTATGCACAACAGAGTAAATGACATATGTGTTTACTGTATGTGCGTCGCATGTAGACGGCTATTTTGAGGAGACAGCGAATTACAATTCATTTGCCACTCTGATTGCAGTTGCTACACGCGAATACACTGCACGCTCACTCTCGCTCGAATCCAAGGTAAATCAGCAACACTATCATCACTTATATGTGTTTTATTGAAGAAAATACATTGTAATTGGCTAAAACGCATGGGCATGTTACTTTACTTCCTGAACAAGTGTGCACCCGAGTCCGTGTTGCTTTCATATTCACGCGAACCGAGCCACAGTTCGAGTGCAACCACCTCCTTCAGGTAGTCTCGGGTTCGGTTCCCCGGTGCGCACCCGCACTCGCATGACAGCTTTCACACTAGCCAAACGTACCGAACTCTGACGTCAATCGAACCCAGGTGCGCACAAAACATGCTAGTGTGAAAGTGCCCTAATTTTAAAAGTACGATTTATAGACCTAGAAAAGTCTCAAAGATTAATGCAAGCTTATAACTCCATGGGCATTTTCATAATGAATATTCATTTTTGTAATTATGCCAAGTTTTAAAATATTTTATCAGGTAGAAATTGTGAGTAAAAAATATTGTTAAAAAATCTTTATCCAGTAACTCTCTAAAAACTAGAAAAGTCATGGGGCCTTTGAATATATTTATGGGCAATGTGGGGCTTCTTGAAGTCAAAAAGGTTGAGAACCACTGTACTATATCATGATTTTTGACATTATGGCATGACCTCAGCTTCCTACTGTAATTATTGGTTGTTTACAATTGTTTTATGCTTTTGTAATGTAAGTCCATTTTTTATTTTATTTTTTTTTATGTATAGCCCATTTGTCACAAGCATATGGCAAGTATACATATGTATATGTAACTATTGTATGACCAAATCACATGTAACGCATTATGTAATGTGGACCTTTCTCAGGTACTGGACACACCATGATGATCGTTTCCTGTACATGTTAATGGAATATGTGAATGGTGGTGAACTCTTCAGCTATTTACGCAGCCGAGGGCGTTTCAGCAACAACACTGGAATGTTTTATTCAGCTGAAATTGTGTGTGCCATTGAATACCTTCACTCCAAAGAAATCGTCTACAGAGACCTGAAACCAGAGAATATACTGCTGGACAATGAGGGGCACATTCGATTGACAGATTTCGGGTTCGCAAAAAAGCTCTCAGAAAGGTATGTTGGCAATTGGTTATCTACAAAAACAACATTGTGTAATTTTCGTAAAGTCATGTTATATGTACACACACACACACACACACACACACAGAAGTCTCTTATTCTTCATTTTTCTGTTTGTTGTTAATGTCTTCTCAGCTGATGTATTATTACACTGAAATATACTAATTTCCCCTTAATATACTCCTAGATAGATCTGTTGATGTGAAATCTTTTGAAGTTATTTTACATAAACCATGGAGAGAGAGATAGCTGAGCAGCAGTTATATGAAGTGTGTGTCCTTGAAGATTAAAGTTGATTTCAAGATTGGATTAGGCATGCTGTAGATTTTTCCCTTCATTCCATGGCATTTTAGCATTCCCAGTGTTTTGTTTTCATTGTCAAATTAAATGTAAGCAGTTAGACCTGCTTTGCTAAACCTTTGAAATGTTGTAGGGGATCAAATTCAGTTGAGAGTTTCATGGAGTTTTTCAGAATCTGTGAGGTTAGTGACTGAAAATGCAGTAACGGACCACCACGTCACTCTTCGTCCTTCAAAATATCCAACTGAACGCCTTCATTCACTCATACAGTGACTCCCCCTACGAAAAAAACATCTGAAATTGAAAATCCCTCTGGTTGTGCCCCCTGATAGTATCATTCAAATAAAATAAAAAAAAGAACAAGAGGTTGTGTGTGTGTGTGTGTGTGTGTGTGTGTGTGTGTATCTGTGGTGCACAGTACTGCAGTGCTTCTGCAGAGCAAAATGATGTGTAAGCGTAACGGGACGTGATTCTGTTTCTTTGCATATGAGGAAGGGCCCAAAACATTGGGGGTCTGACTCTAATGTGCAAGTGAGCCACATATAGAAACTGAAAGCAGTGCCTCCGGTCCAATGGAGAAGACAACTGTCCCTGCAAGCAACAGCTTTGGCATTTCCAGTTTGAGTAGATAACGTTTGCACAGATTGTCATGTGGCAACAATGCCACCTGGTGGCTATATTTGCATTTGGCTTTATGTTCAGAGATATTTGCTGTTTGCCTTGATCAACGGTTATTTAAAGCACCAACATTGTTAAAATGAAGACAGGATGAGGACTTTGGAAATCTGGTCTTAGATCAGACAATCAGGGTTTTTTTTTAGATAGCATTAGGGCATTTTTTTATCTGTTTTTCTTTTATCATCTTGTCAGAATGTCTGCTCAAGATGAGGGCTTATTATTGTGTCAGAATTACTGATGAATTAAAGGCAGGGTTCGTACGGTCATGAAAAACCTGGAAAAGTCATGGAATTTTAAAACAACAATTTCCAGGCCTGGAAAAGTTTTGGAAAAATAAATTGACCCACTAAGTTTTGGAAAAGTCATGGAAATTTGTTTCACAATCTCTGTATATTTGAATATATTTTAGTTGATAATATTGGTTAAATTACAGTAGTTAACGTTCGCGCGATCCGTCACGTGATGTTCTCTGCGTGGGGTAACGGCGACTCGCAGTTGCAGCTAGTATTATGTAGTAAACTCACGCAATGCCAGGAAAATGCTGATTTAATAATGTATGGCTTCATGATGAAAAATATAAGGGGTGACTTGAGAAAGATCAGGACCCGGGATGTGCAAAATGTACACTGTGCCGTAAAACGTTCAACATTTCGAACATGGGAGAGGCAGCGCTGTCTAGCCATGCTAAAGGTGCAAAGCACCAGTCTGCTGCTGCATGCTCGACAGCTCCCAACCCGATCACCGGCTTTTTCACCCGTGTGACTGAAGTGACAGCCGCTCCCAGCTGCGGTGCTTCCCTCTCATCCACTGTAAAACAAGGGACCATTTTGAGTGCCGTGTCCAGAAACGAAACCCTAACTGCAGAGGTACTGTTGGCGCTAAAGGTGGCTAATTCGCACTATTCCTACAAGTCTTGTGAAGAAAACATGGATTTTTCTTCTTATTTAACATGTATAAATAGACATTTCATGAAACATTAGGTCATGAATATTTACCTCAAAGTCATGGAAAAGTCATGGAATTTTATTGGTAAAAATGTGTACGAACCCTGTAAAGGGCTCGTATTGTGGTCGTGTTTGAGGGCGAAGGAGGAAACTTGTCAAACGGTAGCTGCACAGTTTCGAGTAGCCAATCAAAAAGAAAACACAAAGAGCAATTCAGAGAAGAGTCACCTTCATCACAACAGCGTTGATGTCCTAAAGGTCTTTTTTGGCTGTGCATTTTGAGATGTTTACACGCTTGTTACAGCAATGACAAACTTGTCAGCCGTCACAGCAAAGCGTATCGGTTAAATAAAACACAGACAGGCCTACCTTTTCTAGTCAGACACACAAACACTGCCATGTAGGCAAACATATTGTTAAGTGAGTCGTCAGGCATGCTTATATTAATAACAGGATCTGATCTTGATAACCGGATCAGTTTCTTCGCTGCTCCTATTAGTGTGCAGTCTGATATAATTCGAGTAAACATAAATCATCAGAGCCAATCGAAAATCACGTCACACCAAACCTCTCTCACAGTTCATTGGAATGCTGTTGTGAGCTGACACTGAGAGGCTTCAGTTAACACAAGGGAGACTAATCCTCTCTATTACAGAGAGAAGAACTAAAACCAGACAGCTGAACACAGAAACATAAAGAAAGAGACTGAAATTGAGAGCAAGGAAAGAAGGAATATATGTGTGTGTGTGTGTGTGTGGCTAATAAATCACACAGAATGAAGTTTTTTGAAAATCTAAAAATGCAGAAAGTTTCCTGTGAGGGGTAGGTTTAGGGGTAGGGTTGGTGTAGGGCAATAGAATATACGGTCTGTACAGTAGAAAAACCATTACGCCTATGGAGAGTCCCCACAAGGATAGCTGACCAGACGTGTGTGTGTGTGTGTGTGTGTGTGGTGGCCAAAATTATTAGAAAACTAGTATTTTCGTCAGTTAAAAAATGGTTTTAAGTCAGTTATTTTTATCTTTTGCTGTAGTGTGTCAGTAGGAAATATCAGTTTACATTTCCAAACATTAATTTTGCCATTAATTGTAATAATCCAGTGAGATTTTTATTTGCACAAGGAGTCTGACAACAGCCAGTGCTCCACACAGAGATCTGATCTCATCATCATCCAGTCTGTCTGGAATGACATGAAGAAACAGAAAAACTCAGATTAAATCCAGAAGAACTGTTGCAATGTCTCAAAGATGCTTCAAGAAACTTTATATTATACAATATATTTTGTCCTGAAAAGGGATGAAGACCCGGGAGCTATAACAATCAGAAGGTCGAGCTAAAGATCTAGCATAATTTTTTACTGCTAAAACCACAAAATGTATTTGCTTACAGAATGGAGCAAAGTCTCCAGTAGTCTTCAGTAGAGATGCACCGATTGATCGAGCCGATCCTTTTATTGCCAGCGGCACCGACAATGACATCACAGCCACAGTCGCGTGTAGACATGTCGTTTCGCGTGAGAATGATTCTATTTTTAATTGCATTCAGTGTAAACGGCGACTGATAATGTATTTATGTCATGCCAGATGAGGCTTGCACAGCCTGAGTGAGAAAGACAGCACACACAAAGAAATTTATAGATGCATACTGCGGTAGAAAAAAAAAGAAGATATTTACAAAATATGATTTAGGTAAGCAACATTATACGGCCATGATGTTTCCCTGAATATCAATATCAACACGATTGCAATGTGACACTGATTTTATACAATAGTATTTCAATAAACAAGAAGTTAAAGGGGTCATATGATGCGATTTTAAATGTTAACCTTTCTCTTTGGAGTGTTACAAGCTCTTGGTGCATAAAGAAGATCTGTAAAGTTGCAGACTAAAGTCTCAAATCCAAAGAGATATTCTTTATAAAAGTTAAGAGTCAACCACGCCTACCTAAAACGGCTCGTTTTAACACGCCCCCACATGTCTACGTCACG